CATGCTACTTTTCCAGCAGATGTCAGGGTTGAAGTCCCCCACCAGGGTGAGAGCCTGCAAACACAATGCCTCTGGTAGCTGGAGTAAGAAGGCTTCATCAATAGGTTCCTCTTGATCAGGCAGCCTGTAGTAGACACCAACCATAAGGTTCCCTTTGTTGCCTCAATCTCTAATTCTTACCCATAAGCTTTCAAGCTGCTCATAGCTATTCTTCAGAGACAGCTCTCCATACTCTATCCATTTCTTGACATAGAGGGCAACCCCTCTGCCCCTCCTTCCTTTACTAGAGCAAGGTTTACAGAAGTCATTATTTACAGACACATTTAAAATTATATTCAAACCTGACACTCGGCATGAACAATCATTATATAACCTGTTGGGTTTTTTTAATACCAGAATAAAACCAAAATTCTGTCCCCATTGCACAATATTGGTATATTAATAGGAAATAGTGGGGGCAAATCAGGTCCTACTTCTGTAAATAGATCTATTATTACCTTGACAGCTGACAGGACACTCTGTCAAATATGCAGAGTCACTCGTGATAAAGGCAAGAAGTTCTTTGAGCATTTGTGGTTGGATGCTAATTTTCTTACTGTATAGAAAGGTTTCTAAATGGTTTTCATTTTATGTATTACAAAAACCCTTTTCTTCCTTTCAAAACTGAAGTGTAGATTATAGGCAGGTCAAAGAAACAGAAGCAAAGAGCACAAGACTGCTAGAGAAGAAATTGCCCATTCTGATCCATGCTTGAGAGCACTCTGGACCGCCCATGCCGCATTTGTCCTGCTCTCTTCTCCAGCAGCTGGAGACCTGGTACCGGGTACCAATGCATACCCTTACCTTTCCTCATCTATCTCACTTTTGAATTGTGGAGTTGCAAGAGAGATAAGTTGCCCGTGATGCCATGTGAGTGTGCTAGAGTGAGAGGAGGTGGGCACGGGGCTCGGCCCCTGCCTGGACCTGCTGCCGGCTGAGCAGCAGCGCTTGTCACAGCGCTTTATCCGCTCATCAGGGTTTAACTTCTGCGACAAAACTGAATGCAAAGAATATGGCAGGAGGAGGAAAGGAGAACAAGTTGATCCCACCCACTCTCTGCAACCAACTATTTTGTTATTTCTATTAGATTCTGTCAAAACTGAGGTTGAGAGAATTCTGCAAGTACCTACTTCTGTAATCTTCAGACTCGGGGTCAAAGCGTGAATGACACAGCTTCTAAGCCGTGGGCACAGAGTAACAGCATGCTGGCCTGGCTCAATTCAGTGTTTTGTCCACAGCATCCAAACTTTTTGGTGGATAAGCTGTCCTTACTCTTTACATAGACTAGAGCTCAAATCAGCATGGAGAACTTTGGGAAAAACTTCAATTCAAATAAAGGATGTAAAGAAATGTAAAGAAATCTCACCTTCCGCATGTGAGCAACCCTGTTGACTTTAATAAAATCTAAAGATTATTTAAAAGGAGCAGGAGTTAGTCCTAAAAGTCAAAAGCTGATTTGTCTTACCTACTGTTGTGAAAACAGTATCCTTCAGAAAACCATTGTGTAAATTTTAAACCAGGTATATTTCGTTCATTTTAATAAATCTAGGTGGTTCTGAAATGGTGAAATTTGATTCTATTTTATTCCTTGCAAGAGGGTGGTATCTGGAAGGATGGATTTGAAATATGCTTTAAGTGATGTAAAACATACACTGCTCCTCTTATGCATATTCTTTTTCTCTGCAGGTTCCTTAACATTTATTAATTGTGTTAATGTGAAGTGGGGAACCCGTGTACAAGATGTTTTCACATATGCAAAAGTTATGGCTCTTATCTTGGTGATATCTGTTGGCCTTTACAAAATTGGTAAAGGTAAGAATAATTTTCATTTACTTAAATTCTTAAAAATGAACTGTATATGAGTTTCAAAATCTGTGCAGGAAGATCAGACTCCTTAAGGCTTACCTATGAAGTGCTGTTTATTCTGGAAAAAACTGTCTGCCATAGGAAGATCAGAGGAATTTTATGGCTTGTTAAGAAATGGGGTTAATTATTCTTCTTTCCTTAGTGTGGCAAACCAACACGTGCCAAGTTCTATGTTGCTCAGGCTGAATAGAAAATAGCAGCTGAATTAACATCAGTTTAGTACTAACTAGTTTAAAGTCAGCCTCAGTGCCTCTGACTCATGCTTCTTAAAGGCTAGCGTTGCTACTTGTCCTATGACATGACAGCACAGCAGAAATTGCCGGACGTGTCCTTCATATCGCTCCTCACTCCCCCTCCCTGCCCTGCCCGTGGCAGAGCTGCTGCAGCCCCCTGCAAGGGGAGAGGATTGGGGAGGGAGGAACTCGTCCTTTCCTTCATTGGTGAGAGGCTGTGCTTGTTCCTAAAAACAAGGGAGAAAACTGTAATAGTGCAGTGAATCACTGTGGTATTGTAAGACATCACAGGACAGATGAGCCACCTTGTATCAGCAGTAACTGGACTGAACGGAACACACTGAAAAGCTGGAGACTAGTTTATTCCAGTGCTACCTCTGATCTTTGCACATGACAATAGATTTGATTTCATTTTTTTGGCCCTCTGGTAGAGTGAAGTCTCTTCCAACTCTAGCTCTGTTGCATAGTTACTAAGATTTCTTTATTTTCCTTTCCCATGAAATTCCTAAATAGCCATTGTATCTTTATTCAGTTGAAATAAAGATGGTTTCCCCTCTTGAGTTTAGGAATTGTCTTTTTCTCCTGCTCGAACTAGCTTATAAAACCTAACGAGCGTTCTTGTTTTTCCATGTTTGCTGGCCTTCTCCATTCCTTGGCTGCAGTTGCATCAGCTGTTATGCTGTAAAGCTACACCAGACTTTAAGAGAGCTTTTTTGTTTAGCCATTACCCATGCACGTCAGTTGTCACTGGCTTGTTCCAGCCTAAAGAAACCTGAACAAATGAACCCAGTCCTAAGGGCAGGAACGTGAAGATGCAGAGGAAAAGCATTGCTTAAGGGCCACAGTTACACGAAGGAGTAGTTCCCCTCATAAAGCTGCTGCAGTTTTACAAAGGTGTGAGTCCGTGATGTCACCCCTATAGCAGCTTTGCCCTGTCCCCGCAGTCACAAATGTACCCGTGCTTTCAAATTGACTCTTTCAAAACTCCCAGCCCTCTCACTGGCATGCAGCTGCCACAATGCGGTTTGGCCCCTCTGCTCCTGCATCCACACAACCCACGCCGGGTCCTCTGCGTTGCTCCGTGGGGTCAGGGAGGGTAAAGGCGGGGAGGAAACATGATTATGAGAAATGCAAAATGCTGAGGGCTTTTAGTGGTAGTAAAGGTCTCGTCTCTGCTTTGTTTAAGCAGAACTGAGCACTTAAATACAGAAAGGACTGGGAAGAGGAATGATGTAGAATTCTGGAGGAAGCTGTGATCGGGTCAATGCACTTTTCTAAACTCAGTAGCTGTTTTAATGAAAAGAAGGGTTACAACATTTTAGCCCTGCTGTATTCCTTCTGATGTGCTCAGATATGCCTCCTGTTTTAAAACACTGTGAATGTATCTGATTTAGTAAAAAAAGCTTTTCTTGGTCCTTTTGGATTTTTCTTTTTTTTCCTTCCAACCATTCTCTTCAACATCTTGTAGCTTCACCTTCCTCAGGGCAAACAGTCTCCTGGTAGTTACTGCTCTTCAAAGATTGAATGGCTTTTGTGGTATCTATAAACTCCTCAGTTTAACCACAGAGTAAAGTTGTTTCATTTTATAACAAAGACCTTACTTGCTTCCCTAATAGAGGTTTCAGCATGTTGCTGTCTTCCTTAATACTTAAACCCACTTCCATTTATATTAGATGGTTGACTTTCCTTCTGCAAACCCAGTAAGGCCTTTCTTCCCCTTTCCAGAATCGCAGTGAAGGCTCATGCAGTTTCATTAACATTTTGTCTATTTTGCAGCATTCTGCAGGTTGTCGTCTCAACCGATTGAGCTAAACTAGAGGAGAATTTTGAAAGGAAAGATTTTTCAAATATCCTTTCTTAATTTTGGGGAACACCCTTGTGGGGCAGAGCATCCCACTGAGAACCATGCCTCCAGGAGTTCCCCCTCCAGTGGCCACTAATTCATCTGGTGAAAACAAAAGCACAGATATGAGGAAGAAATACGAGACACATTCAGGAACTGAAATTGGGTTTGCCAAGTGCCTCTGCCTGGCTGGCAGGGCATAGCATGACCTCAGTATGGCTCCCTCCTTCGGTAGCCTAGACAGCGATGCCAGGAGATGAGGACGCTGTGAATTCTGGTAGAATTACACAAGTCACATCCAAATAACAAACACGGGAAAACATCTTCTGCTGTCTCCCTGTACAAGTGTCGCTGTCTGAACATTTGACTGAATTTTCCTATTTGTCCAGTGAAAATATAAGCCGTGCTCTTTTAGAAATAGTAATGAAACCTGGATGCAGAGGGTTTTTATTTCCTTTTGGTTAGCTGAGAATTTTAGCATAGTGTCCCTCTATGACGTAATCCTTGAAACGTAACAGGAAATTGGTACCTGCCCTTTGTACAGGAGAAACGGAAAACCTGAGAGCTCCGTTCGAGGGCTCAGCAACAAGCCCAGGGATGATCGCGCTGGCGCTCTACTCTGCCCTCTTCTCCTACTCGGGATGGGACACCCTCAACTACGTCACCGAGGAAATGCAGAACCCCGAGAGGTAAACGGGTGCTTTTCCTTTGAATTGCTGAAGTGTCCCGGTAAAACAGGTGATGGCAGGACTGTATTTGATGGTGGCAGCTCTGTATTTGTTTCTGATTGGAAATTAGTCAAACTATTTTCTCTGCAAAAACCTTCTTTTACAGAGAAGTAGTAAGTACGCAAACTTTTCCTGATTATTGTCCTCTCTTACCAATTGCATCACATCACACTAATAAATCACTTGTCTGCATATATCTATTTTAAACCTTCCACTTTAGGCCAGAATTTTTAAAGGAGGAGAACAAATCCCTGCTGAAAACGGGGAAAAGCGTGGGTCTATCTAGCTCTCTAAAATTCCCTTTTTTTTTCAGTCAGATAGAACAGTTATTTCATTTTCCACCAGTAGAGTATGACTGTTTCAGGTTTATGACTGTTTTATCGTGTGATCTTCAGCATTACTGTTTATGGGAAAAGTGTTTAATTTTAGTAAAAATGAAAGGTTAAATAAAAAATAAAAAAGTCCACAGCAGCACTGGGTATATCATGTCCTCCCCTCTGTAGGGATGTCCACCTTGTGGGAGTGGTGTGCCTCACCTACTCAGACTGAGTCCACCTTGTCTTGGGACATACATAGGTTATGAGTCAGGAAAAAAATGCTACGATCACAAAAACACCTAAGTGTGCATTTAAATCTCACTGCTTAAATTGCTTCATAGAAAAGACAGTATATAAAATTTACAGGTATAAATGTATGTTTTTTCTCTAAAACTTGTGAGTTTTAGCAGCCAACTAAGCTGCTTATGGAATTGTTCTACACATGGCTGCACGTTATTTTGTAACCCCATGATTACAAAATGGTGGATTACAAACAGTGATGGAGGTATCTGTTCACAAATATTTGAATTTGGGAACAATCTTCTATTTAAATATTCCTTATTCAAAGAATATGAAATAATTTTGCCATTTTCCTTTTGCAGGAATCTACCTCTTTCTATTGCAATTTCAATGCCTATTGTGACTGTTATTTACTTGCTGACTAATATAGCATACTATGTAGTGTTGGAAATGTCAGCTCTCCTCACAAGTGATGCAGTGGCTGTGGTAAGTTGTATAAAATAATTAAACCAAAAGTTACTGTATGGATGACCCTGCGGAAGAATCTCAGGTAGCGTACTTCTTGGCAAAACAATCGAAACATTCCCATGCTGAAGGTTGTTGCTTTGTTTTAAACTTTGTTTTCATGTAAGATCACGAGTATATTAGAAGGTGCTATAAAGAATATATCCAATAAATCTGCTCTTGAAAAATTCTCTTATATAATCCTGCTCCTAACAGTACTTCATTGTAGAAGATGCTTTTGCCAGAGCCAGACAGAGAAAGAGCTATGGAAAGTCTGGGTCGTTTAAGAACCAGGGGTTTTTGCTATCATTCTAAGGTACAGTGTGTGATGTTTAATGCTGCAGGATCACAACAATATTTTCAACACAAAAATGTGCAGTGAAATGCTTTTTCAAAATTTTTCAATATTTTATACAAAAGTACAATTATAACTCATGGATTACTACAGTCAGGATTTGTGAGAATACATTAAAGCCAATACATCTTCTGTTATCTCATCGACTTGATCTAGGCTTAGAAATATTTTTTTAAAATCTTTCTTTAATGTATCTGCCATTGTTATTTTGATACTGATCAGGTTTTCCAGATCCTAATTTCCCAAGTCATTATCGGGTGTCAAAAGAAACCATAGGCTATGACACTATATTTGGGCTGGTGTGTTTTCATGAGAGTGTCTCAGGATTGTCCATATGCTTAATGTAACGGGCCTCACTATTATTTTCTTTTTCTGTTACAGACGTTTGGCGATGAAACCCTTAGTTATGCTAAGTGGATAATTCCTATAGCAGTGGCCATGTCTTGCTATAGTGGCTTAAACTCATCAATAATTGCAGCATCTAGGTATGAAATATAAGATTTATTTCAAATAACTGAAAAGCAATAATTATTAATCTGCATTCTTTACTACTGCATTCTAAAAGTGACACAGTTAATTTTTGCCATTTCAAGTTGTTCATTTATGATGGAAGGATTGTTACGATTTGACATGTCTTCTCATGATCAGCACCAATTGATAAACTAAAGCCACTTGAGAGGAGAGCAGCATTTACAATAGAGTAATAAAAGAATTAATGCTGCTTTTGTCAGAAAGCAACAAGCTATTCCTTGGCTCACTGTCTGGTTGAGTTTTCTTATTCTTTTTTTCAGGCTTTTTTATGTTGGAGCCAGGGAAGGACACCTCCCTGACAGTCTGAGCTTGATTCATATAAAGTGCTTCACACCAGTCCCTGCTCTCCTCTTCAACGTAAGTGACAGCCCAGCCCCGTGCCGGCCGCGGGCAGCCGGCGGTTCGAACCTGGAGAGTATAACACCTCGCCTCTGCCCGGTGTTTCTCCCGGGCTTCTCCTGCACTGGAGACATCTTCCTCAAACGCTCACAATTTCTAAAACTCATTGAGGGGGGTGGTGGTGGTGTTATTTTGTCTGGTGGGGGTTTTTTTCAGTGGAAAGAGAATGGCTTGATTCACATTCATATGCTCTCTGAACAAGATTGGTGAGGAGTAAGTACAATAGCATGCTTAGAAAACAGAGAATGGCTAAATATGTAACCGTATAGACAGGAGTTGTTTAAGTCTTCATGTGAGTTTTCAGAGTGTCACTGGAGAAGAATATGGCAGGGGGATCTCAGACCCTGCCGCAGGCTGATTTTCTAGGACTCTAGTTATAACAGGAGTGACAAAGCACATAAAATTAAATTCCTACCATTGGATGCCTATAGCCATACTGACTTTTCCCTGCTGTCACTATACAAATGAATCTTGTGACACAAAATCGAGGAACCATAAGGTATAGAATTAGTGCAAATGATTTTAATAAATAATCCATAAATCTAACAGATTAAAATAAGGGGGAGGATATGCACAACCAGAGAAGGTGGAATCATTCAAATGCATTTCACTGCTGTTTATTCGAACATGTGTTTTATTTGGTGTCTTCCATTGCCCTGTGTTACATACGGTTTATGAATAGATTATTGTACCAGTCCTGTTTGACATCAAATAATTTACTAAAAGTTATAATCTTATTATGAAAACTCTTCTCAGAGGGATTCTGTTTGCACCAGTAAGATGAGCTATATATAGCTATATATCCCTTAATACACCACCATTCACGTTTTTCACAACGGAATTTTTTTCTGCTCATCTGTTAAAACAGACATTAAATTCCTGGCATTTTAGGTTTTTCCATGCAGGCAGTACAGCAAACCTGCATACCACAGAATTTACTCTAATGGTCTCAATGTATGAGTGGACTGTGAGAACTTCCAACAGTGAAACTAAATTAAAAGCTTGTTTTCCAGCTGAAGCCAACCAGAACAGCAGAGTAAGCTGCTGCCTAAAGAAAGCTTCTTAGCAGCCTCCCCCATAGTGCAGCAGAGTCTGGGGCTCCTCATCTGGCTGCTTAGGAGGGTTTCCTGCTGGTGCTGAAACATAACTTCACAAACCCGACACTTCTTCAGCCAAATGTGGTGGTCTCACTGCTATGTTTAAGGAAGAGATACCAGCGTGTTTCACACAGCATATTTGCAGATTTCTCAGAGTTTTAAGTACATCCTTCTTGCAAGGACATGATCTCCTAACTCCAGACAAGTATGTTGGGAACAGGCTGTTTTATAACTTTACTTACCTCTTTATTGTATATGACATGTCTTTATTTTCACATTAAAAAGTCTTTGTTTTTATTATCTCTAGGGCTTAATGACTTTGCTTTACCTCCTTGTGGAAGATGTTTTCCTCCTCATTAACTACTACTGCTTCAACTACTGGCTCTTTGTGGGTCTGTCTATTGCAGGATTGATATATTTGAGATATAGTCAGCCGCATAGACCTCGGCCTGTTAAAGTAAGTAAACAAAAGAGGAAAAAAGCCCTAAAAGCCAGCTAATGCACCTGTTTATGTGATCCTTAATACCACAACCATAGCATTACCAGTTATGTTGTAGACTACTTATCAGTGATAGAAATCCTTTCAAGATAAAAGATAAGAAACGAAGGAGCAAAACCCATTTGAGTTTCCACAAGAACATCTGTGCTGGTACTTGTGCTATGAGGTTGAAATTATATTTACCATTTCTTTTTCCTTTCATTCAACCTTATAACTATCTTTATTTCAAAATAAATACGGAATAAATAAACGCCTGGGGTTCTTAGCCCATCCTGGAACAACCCCCTTTTGTATTATTCACAGCTGACCTCAGTAGAGCTAGTGATAAGGGCTCCAGAGAGGTTAACACTCTGATCAAACTTACATGACTTAACAAATTCAGCAAAATCCCTCCAAAGCCCATAAATGCCCAAAATTCCGCTCATGCAGAAGATCAAAAGCTTAAATAATCAAATATATTTTGAGTGTTTCCTCTCACTGCATAGTGGTCATAGACAGTAAAATGCAAGTTTAATGACTGATTGCAGAAAAGCATCTGGCTATCAGTTAGGAGAGGGAGACTGCACAGAAACAAAGCGTGCCTAAAACTTGCTTCTAGTTTTAATCCAGTGATTGTCCAGGACACAGGGACGGAAACCCACAGCTTCCCCCAGGCACACAAACCACACGCTGGCTCCCGTTTCCCTGCGCTCTGTCAGCTCCATGACCTGCATTTCAGCTCTGCAGTGATGCCGTAAAAATTATGAGAAATACAAATTAACACCCTATCTAAATATTTCTTCCTTGTCACTCACTCTTCCTAACCTCCTGCACCATTTTTAAGAACACATATTTTTTTTCCATTTAAGGGTAACATCCCGATTATAAAAAACATAGTTCAAACAAAGGAGTAAAATATCCTAAGCACCTACTGCTAGAAAACCTTCCAGTCTTCCAGAGCAGACCAAATTTTCCCAAAACATGTTCACACTTCATTTCCAAACTTTCCCCCAAAGTATGTGGAAGATAAAGATTAAATCATGCCTTATTGGCAGTTTTGCTGTTGACTCTACTAAAGCAAGGATTACAGTCAGGTTATAGACAGTGCTGTTTAATTCCTATCAGCATTTGCCAGCTTAGTCAACGTCACAACTCTGCATACACTTTTTTCTTTTCTGAAATGTAGCAGTTGGTTTTCATCAACTTACACTTTTAACCTTTATAAGGAAAAAGAAATATTTATACCAATAAACTCTCAGGGGTTTCAGTTAGTATTAAAATGTCAGCTTCCAGCTTGAGAAGACTCGTTACTACAGGCAGTGAAAAATATTTTAGTGAAAAATAAAACCATACAGAGGTTATTGCAACTTTCCTTATTTGTGGTATGATATTTTTTAAGTGCCCAGGCAAAATGGTTGTACATCAGTCCATTAGTTCTGTAGCATGAACAGAGTAACTGAAAGTCTAGCTGAGTTAGTTCCCAATCAAACTTACAATTAAAAACTTGCAATTGAAGTTAGAGGGAAAACTAGCCATTGCTGCTCAGTTTTAAAGTACTGCTTTCAAAGCTTGATCTCTTACTACTGTGGAAAGGAACTGAGCTTGTGCAGGCCTGAAAACAACAAAATGGTCAGATATTTAGGTGTGTACCAGATAAGAGGCTCTCAGCAGCGTACACAGAAGCTAGCAAATTGTACTGACTGTAGGCAGTCAAAAGATTCAGTGCATAGTAGTCATATAGTCAATAGTTATATTTTTATTATTGACTTGTCTAATTTTAATCTGCAAAGCCTGACAACAGAGTATTTACTGCATCTTTTAATAAATGTTGGAAATTTTTTTTCTCCACAGCTTAACCTCTTCTTCCCTATAGTATACTGTTTATGTTCCCTTTTCCTGGTCATAGTTCCTCTCTACAGCGACACAATCAATTCCCTTATTGGCATTGGTATTGCCCTCTCTGGCATTACTATCTGCCAGTTGAAAAACGACCTAAATGTCTACAGTGGCTCTCTGGTAAGCAATATCATCTTGTCCTAGTCAGTGTGCCAAAATCTTGAATGCTTGGTCAGAAGACAGAAAGAATAATTTTTCCTAGAATCCTGTTTTCCTGATGAAGTTTTCCTACTCTGTACACGGCATGTCTGAGATCATTTGCTTCATCACATGGTCCTGAAAACAAAAGCATGCATACCTGTACAAAACAGTCCAATATATGGATATATATGGTCATCTAATATTTGTAGTGTTGAGCCATTTCAAGATGTTGGCTCAGTAAAAGCCATGTAGGATTGTGAAGGCTAAATGCATGCAGTTTGATACCCTGGAAGGCAGAAATACCAGGACACCATTGCTTCACTTTCTGCCCAAGGAGTGGAACATCTGAGTCAGAGAAATCCATGAATTTTCATAAATTATGAAATAATGAATTATTGACCTGAAGGGTAGTTTCCACTCCTCAAATTCAGGCAATCTTGAAAAGCAAAACTTTAATATTTTTATTCAGCTTGAACTCAGCTATCAATTTGACAATTCAATGCAAATGGTGATGAAAGTTTGATTAAACGAGACTTTCTGTTTAATTATTGAGCTCCTTTTGCCTTTACCTATTTATAACACATGCTTAATCCAATTGCTTAAGGTGTTTTAAGATTTTCCTAATACCTGTGTAGTGCTTTCAAATCCTCAAAATCCATATATTTGTTTAAGATATATTATAACTTTGTCTCACATATTTTTGCTATGTATTACAGCTACAACAACAAAATATGTTCAGATGCTCTTCTACTGTGCTCTGTCAGACCTGGACATAGACATGGAACCTACAGCAGCTAAGAGCAAATAGAGTTGCCTTCACATTGAGAGTTGCACCTTGACATTTTCTATCTGGAGCAATTTTTATCATCTGAAGGTCCCCCCATGTGTTCAGTTATACTAAAGCACTAACCACTGCACTATGCATCAGTTTGATGTCTGTTAATTTGTGCTTGTTTTATAAACCACTCTGTTTTACGGGATTTTTTTTTAAAAATCCATTTGTTAATAGTGAGTTATCATGTAACACTTTGAAACTACAAAGCACTGTATGAACAAACATTTATTAGTAGATAAGTGCTAAATATTAGATTAATTGCAAAATTGTAATACAAAGTATTAGGTCTAGTCACAATCCTAAGAAATAAAATTATAAATATAACAAAAGACAGACCAGATATTTGCAAGATTCAAAACCTGAGTTGGAAAGTAGAAGCCACAGCGTACTTCTAAAAATATAACTGAATTCTTAGCCAAAGTAAAACATATATAATTCAAACTGGTAGACATGCTTTGAGTCAATGTAGTAGTAGTAGTAAACTATTCTAATGCATAATTCCCAGCACACATATTGTACCAAAAGGAGAAAACCAAAGTTGTCAGTCATTTAAATTCTGCTAGAAATTCTCATTTGACGATATCCCACATTCACACCCTTTTGCAAAAGAGGTATTTTCAACAAACAAACTTCATTGTAACTGAAGTACTTTTGCTTTCCAGCAGAACAACCTGCTGTGGAGCACTGTAAGGACTGAGTCGTGTTCCAGCTAGAGTATATTCAGGGAAAACACTTCACCTTTCCATAGTGTCCACTGCTTGCCTAGAAGTATCAAAGGTGGTGCCCCATGAATCATACTAATTTTTTCCACAGTGGAACTTATTTAAAGAATTCACAAGGGGAAATTAAAAACTATTGATGTTTACAAAATCCCTTGAGCCCCTGCCCAACCCTTCATGCCTCACCAGTTCCTGCTGGCAAGGTAACCCGCAGGTCTCCTGCTGAGCACGCAGAGAGCCTCCAGCACTGGCTGCCAGGTCTTCACATCACGTAGGTGGTGCCTGTTGTACAATATCCAGCACAGGCATATGTGCACTGGACAAGTGCACTCACCAGTGGGTGCAAAGGGCATGCTTTCACCATGAAAGCAAAGGGCAGTTAAGAACTAGGATCATTCTCTTGAGCATTAAGTTTTTCGGTGTGGCACACGGGAATGTGCAACTAGTCCTAATTTTTAGTCTCCTGAAATGGAAGAGACAATAACTGTCATTAAAAAAAAGCCATCAGCCTTGCAACCTAGACCATAAAAACAGCTGCTCCAGCTCTAATACGCTTTGTTGATATGTAGTACCGTTTGTTATCCTTGTTGGCAAGTCGTACTTCCTTTCTGTAATTATATTTGAATATAACGTACATTGTTTCTAATTTGAGTTTCATCATTCCTATTCAATTAACCCCAACAAAGGTAATTTAATCTTATACAAGTCCCTGTAACTTCTACTATTATTGTATTTTATGGATGTCTGCCCATAGAAAGAGCAATGGAATAGGGAAGAAGGCAATCATTGCTACTTAAACCTTTCTTCATTCCTGCCCCACATTATAAGGTCATTTGCAGGATTGTAATTTTGTGCATCTCCAACACAGCGTTTGCTGATAGGGCTCCTGTGAAACCTTCTATTTGCATTTCAATGTCATCTGCTGTGGCAGTTTCCTTTCAGCGGGGTTTTCTTTCAATACAAAGTGTGAACAACAAAAATGCACTAAATTAAGATAAACATGAAGATATTAGAGATGCGTGTTTTGCTTTTTGGGAGCCACAGCTTTTGAGCACTAGAATCACTTAAGTATCAAAATCATAAAACACAAAGAGGAAAGAAAACCTAGGGTATAGTTTAGTTTGCCCACCTCAGAACATCCCCTTGTACTCTTCACACACACAACGCATGCCTCTGTTACAGTATAGCACCATTTTGATCCTGCTCTATGATTGTACAGAAATATCATGGGTTTGCCCCATCTCTTACAAAGCACTGGTTAACAACAGAGCCGCGGTCCCAGACTGTATCAGGGCACAAAGAGAGTACAAATCCTACAAGTTGGTACCAAACTAAACGTGACAGTCTTTGTCTCCAAGAGCTCAAAGTCACGCTTGGTGCTGAGCTGTGTATCACGCAAGACAGCACTGAACCATCCTCCGAAGTTTTCCTTGCAGGACCAAGTTCCTAAGTGATTTGAGACACCCGAGGTGACATCTTGGGTGGTAACAGGTAGCAGGCACTACCGGTAGTGTAATAAGGGCTACAGACTAAGACCATTTCCATAGAGAATTCTGAGCTGAGAAACTTCTTTCTTTGTCTGTTTTTTGCCAAAATCTGTTTTTACATGAATCCTTTATCTTTCTGGGCATCACGCACAAGCCTTCATTTTCTTTCTTTCTGTACAGAAGGAAAGTAGTAGTCAGATGCAAGGTTATAAATGTGAATAATGTTGCTGAAATTCTCTATGGACATCAGAATCTCAGAAATGTTAATGTGTTTGTTGATTTTTCACTCCTTACAAATAATACATGTAAGTTATTGTCAAATATCTAAAGCAAGTCATAGATGCTGAAGTATTTAAATAAATAAACATATGATCCTTGGCAAATACTTGTTTGGTTTTAAAGATTAAAAATAGTATTGTGAATGAAATTTGCCCTGCCTTACATCTCACAAGTTGGTTTTGCAGAAGAGCAATGAGACTCTAACTCTTATTTGTGTTTTCTATAACGTAACAAAATAAACATTTATGGAAGGAAAAATTTCTGGTTACTCAAGGTGGGACTTTTTCTCACTGCAGTTATGAGCAATTCTTTACCCAAACAATTTCTTGTTCTAAGAATAAACACATATTTTTACATTCTTCACGGATGCTGAACTATGCAGTCAAACAATACACTTCTACTTTTTTTAAAGATGGTCTTGGCATCCAGGATAAGAATCTTGTCGTTAGATAACAAAATGTAAGGAGTAGGCTCTTTGACATCTAGTTTGTCAGCTGGCATCTCCGCGGTGGAAGGCACCGGGGTATGGATAACACTGGAAGCCCGTGGAGGCGCAGGCTGCGCTGCAGTGCGTAACGGGAGCCTGGCAGGCTGCGAGGACAAGAGACCCTGGAGAACAGCCCACCTGCAGAGCTGGAGAAGGGTCTTTCAGGGGCAAAAGCTGGGGCAATATAGTACTTGGGAGTAGTATTAGCTCTTCCTTAGGAATCAGGGAAATACAGGATTCTTGTTTCTTTTGAAGAATCACAGTTCTTTGAATAACAACGGGAGAAGATACATCGGTATCAGATTGCATTTCTGTGTCAGCAAAGAAAAACAGAAGTTGGTGTTGATAAGGGGTAGATTAATTATCAGCCATAGAAAGTCTAAAGAAGATGTCTGGGCTTTGCATGAGCCTAAAGAGCCGTAAGGGCTGTTGTGTTCTCCCTGGCTACAGAGGTGAAGAAATGCCATCACACATTAGGCAGGACAAGGATATTGAAGTGTGAAAAAACCTGAGAGATGCATGACCTTACAGTGGGCCAGCTCACAGCGCTGTTACAGGACTAAGTGCCTTCGGCACATGTGTGACTTGAAACTGAAGACACTTCCTAAAAATCTTTTCTTGAAATTTACCTTCATTGTGTAACAGGAACTTTGGAAGTATTATTGCACAGTCTCTGAATCTGGAGTACTAGATCTGTCAAGGTCCTGTTTTCTAGCTGATAAGCTATCAGGTTTTGTAAATCTTCCCTTTTTTTTTCTGCAAGATTCAGTTTTGACTTACGAGGAGTGGCATCCAAGCAACTCTGTGAAGTGCTATAATTTTGCAAGTGTCTCAAAAGCTCTAAAATTAAAAAAAAAGAAAGGCAAATGAGGAAAATACAATGCAAACCTAAACAAGAGACCACACAATAACAGGAGAATAACTTTTTTGTCTTGTACATCAGGAGCCTGGAATTATAACCACAAGAAATTAGAAGTGCTTATTGAGGAACACACATTTAATGTAATGCTTGTCATTGAAAAACATGAAAGATGAGTGGGCTACCGAAACGTCTGGTTATTAGCTACCTAGAAAGTTCAGTATTAGAGTCAAAGGAAGGGAGTGGAATTTGGTTTACATGGCCATGGTTTTGAAACAGAAGATGTCAACATTAAAACAAATGATCGTGAGTCGGTGCTCTTCTAACAGGAAGAATAAATGAGAATTAATTGGATCATGCTACAATTCAATAAAAAACACAGTAGGAATTAGAAGGTGTTTAAAGAGCTGGTCACCCAAAATGTGCTCTGTGTCAAGTGATGGAATCGAATACACTTCAGCATACAAACAGAACATAGATTAATTCAGCAATATATTTACTTAGTGCTCAGAAATGTTCATTTCACAGAGCCAAAAATAACTGTGAGCCACACCTGCTGGAGGGAGGGCAAAGAGAGTTTAAAGTGGAAAAAAACTCCTTGGGGCTGTTTAAGAACATTCTACCTACATGCAGAAACCAGAAAAAAAGAAAGGAACGTGCTCAGATTTAAAACTGTAATAAATCCTTCCTCTTTAGAGAGGAAGTGCAAAGAGTCATTTAGAAATAGAAAAAAGGCAAATTTGATGGTAATGACCATAAGTTCAAGACAAGCTGCTGAACAAGATGCCTGACCTATTTAGATGTGCTTCTACAATAGCACAAAAGAAGAATTTAAGAACCTGGTTGCAATAACATGGTATGTTCTTGGATCAAAATATGCTCGTTATGATGATATTAACTTATTTCTGATTAGCCATTGTTCTTGCCCATACCACGCCACCACATAAGGAAATCTGCAAATTAGATTCACCTTTTTCTTGCTATTTTAGGAGTTAGGTCCTGTCTGGCTTAGCGTGTGTGGTCATGGAAGCAGAATTTAAAATTGCCAGTGGAGTTACATTTGACTCCACAAGAGGGAGAACTCCTTTGTTTTATGCTCTCACAAAAGACAGCCTGTTGTTTTGAGACCTTCTGCTCAGAGCAGCTGAATCAGAGGGATGCGTATGTTCCTGCCCGCAGCAAAAGTCCTGAGAAGGACAGGCTTAGCTCCAGTGAAGAGTGTCAGCTTCGTATTCTGAATAGTGCTACAATAGCCTGCTGCAAATTCAAATGAAGATGATGTTAAAGTTCAAACGTTCCTC